TTTTTTTTTACTCGGCGTATTAAGCGGTCATTACCCCCTTCGTGTAGCGTAGACAGTTGTTTGGAGGTTCTGCCATATTGTTAAAAAGAAATCAGCGAACATGACTTGCAGAATTTAATAAAAAATATTCTTGTTTCAGGTTTTCACCAGTGTTGGCAATACAAGGAACATACATTGATAAATGTTTATTTAAAAAGTTGTGCAGTTAATAATCTACAGTAGTAATACAGTAATATGTATACTATGTCAACATATATAGATGTGTTACGTAATATATAGATGACAACAAATTTAATACGCATTGTTATTGTGTATTTGTATGTTCATTGTGATTCGTCTACATCTGAGGTAACTGTCAAAATAGCAAAGAAAAGATTCTCACCTTGTTGAAAAATAGTAATATTTACAATATATTAAAGAAGCGTATAGACTGTTCGCAAGATGTTTTCGAAATTATATGACATTTTTTATTTAAAAAAACACATTTATTTTAACTAAAAATCGCGGGTTCCTCACGTGAATATACTGCAAAAAGTTGTACTAGTTTCGAACCAGAGAAGGGTAGGCTGCCTGACATTGTCGCAACCGCACACGCTGCTCATAAGAAAGAACCCCTCTGTGGTTCGAAACTAATACAGCTTTTCTCAGTATATTCACGTAACCCGCAATTTTTAGTTAATTTAGTATATCTCACGATAGTTATTATAAAACAAACTTATTTTAATTACACTAAAGTTCAAACTTACAAAGCAAGTTCAAAAACACCGCACCACTGCAGTATCCCATAACCAAACCAACAGATATTTATCACTAAACTTGGCCACCAATGTACTGCTGATAGGTGGGACAGAACCTAATCTTAACGACGTCTTTGACCTTCGTCGATAAGAAACGATAGTGACCACGCTAGACCAGTAGCTAATAAAGTATCGTTGTTACTTTTCATGGCTGTAAGTGCCACAAGCCATAATGTTTAGATTCGAGGACACCGAGCTAATGTATGGCTCACCTTATCTACATGGCCTTTCGCCCTTGCAGATGTTCAAGGAATTTTAATTAGTTAGCTTACGTAATTCAGTTTTAGGTCCTTTGTGTTTATACCTTTGTCTAGGTGTTAGAGGTTTTTTTAATGTTCTATTGTTTTAGGTGGAAAATATTTTTTGCGGTTTTATGTATAAGGCAAAAACTTTGGTAGGCTGCGCGACATTACCGCGACCGTACACGCTGCTCATGAAGAAGAACCCCTCTGTGGTTTGAAACTAGTAGAGGTTTTCTCAGTACGTGAATAACCCGCGATTTTTAGTTAATTTAGTATGACTCACGATAGTTATTATAAAAAAAATGTTGGTTATGAAAATGTTATTTATTCATTATAATCAATATAATAATGTGTTTTAATTGTATTGTATTAATGTGTTAAAGTTAACACCGAATACTTAATTATTATGAGAAATTACTTCAGTATTTACTTTTTTACCAAGAATTAATTAAAATTCAATATCCACTAAAAATAGCAATTAAATATAGCTTTCATCAAAACCACCTCAAATTGAAAACAGAAGACAGTTTGACAGTACAATGAGAAGGTAGAAATGCAATATTCGCTGTATCATACAGAAATGCAATTTATTTTTTAACGCTGACACCCCTGTGTCTATTTGTCATAACAGAGTATGGCGGGCTTACCCTTCCGCTGGAAATCTCGCTGACAGAATGTTTGGCATTGAACCCCTTCATAACTCCACGGCATTTACCTACTCTAAATGGAAATGTTTACGTTGTACTTCTATCATGCGTGGAACAATGGTAATTGCCGATACTCGATAGCGACGACGGTAATTTTCGTATAACAAATTTTAGTTCTATAAGTGACCGCTAGGGGCGCTGAAAAATGAGCATACCAACTGAAAATTTTATATCGTTGTTATTGAATCACGACCAATATTATTACTTTTGAACCAATGGTAAAGGTACTGAAGATTTGAAACTGGAGTGATAAATCCACGGGAGCGCGTACGGTGTGAATCGTAAAATTCTAAGAACAGATTTAGATAAGGGTGCGAATTTATTAAACATTCCTGGAAGGTTTTTAATTAAATTAACGAGACCATGAATCTGTCGAAGCCAATAATCCATGGGGTTTCGTTAATTCAAGGACAACAACTGTCACTTGAAATGGGTAGCAATCATTTTGTATTCACCATAAGATAAGTATAGAATTTATCAAAGAAATAAAGCAAAACAACAAATACTAACAAAAAAGGAATGAACGAGTGCAAAGGAGCACATAATATAACACGATAGTGAATTATTAGCGTCGTCAATGGACACCCACCCACAATACCAGAAAACTCACAAGTGTACTTTTTGTTTGTTGATGGGGGAAACATTCAAAGGGGGAAAAAGACTAGGGATTTTTACCTCATTAAAATCTCCCCAGTGGCAACCATCCGCACCTGAAGCACGCACCGGGTCCTCTTAGTAGACCAACCCCGGAGCCCCCACAGTGCAACGCCTGATACGGCACCTCCCTATGAGACCTATGTGTCTCACCTTGAGCCTCTCTGTTCAGTGCACGACGGCACGTGACCGCTGTGCCGCCGTCATCCTTGAGGTCATTAGATGGGCGTCTAGATTCCCCACTCTATGCGCGCATGACTCCAAAGGTTTGCCTGCCATCACAAGTGTACTGTATACAAAAGTTACAGGTTTTAATAATAAACAATGTTATCTTTGCTAAAGGTGAAATGACGGAATAACTTCTTCATTCGTCGCAAGTTTAAATTTCAATTGAAGACAGGAACAAAGGACCTAGAAGTCATTACGGCTATTAATTTATGTTGGTCACAGATGTGGCGTTATATTAAATTCTTGTCAAGTTTCTCTCCACCCAATAGATACAACAGTTCAGTAATTATAGAGGAAATTAACTAATTTCGTGACTTTGAAATAGGAGTTAGAAATAGCAACAAGAATATTAACTTCAATTTCCATGAAACTTCATCAAATTCTTAAAAGAACTTTGGTATTTTGAGGAAGATAACCTTGAGAATCTCGCTATAAAAAATGACCTAATATTCATTATTATCGATATACTTTAACGCTTGGGTGGACATTTTTAACGTTTAACTTTCCACCCACAACTTCTAAAGAAAAAAAATGTAACCCATACCATTCTCCTGCCTTCTAAATATCTCATAATACCATGGAAATGCTCCGTAGCAACATGAAAGAAGGATAAACACCATTTGAAATGTACATATCTAAGGATGTAACTATATAATAAACCAAACGTCTGCCAACAGGTGAATGACCGAAGAAATATTATTGTCAAGTGAATGTCCTTGAACAGACATACCCAAGTAATAAACACATTCCAAGTCAAAACAACTTATGATTTACTGACGACCCGAGAAAATGTTCATATGCAGTTAGCATATAAATAACGATCTATACGTGTAGCACGTCGCGGGGAACCTAACGGGTTACCAGGGCTCCGGCTCGACGTGCAGGAGAAGGAACGGGGTGGTTTTTAGTCAGTAAGCGTCTGACACTCCCTCCCGCCTCACCCAAGTGGGAGCAGTCATTCGATGATTTTCCCCTCTTAAAAAAAAATTACGTGTAGCACCATTGAAACGAAACAACATTTAAGTATATAGAAAAATTTTAAAAATTTCACAAAGCAATCTTTGTGTTCCCTCCCTGTTTACGATCGATGAGGTATGCCACGATACAGTGATTGTTCATTTGAAATTGCTCAGAGCTATGACTGCAACGATTGAGTGGAGTCTGGCTGGCAAAGGAACAATTTTAGGGTTGGTTTAACGGGCAGTTCTCTTTGGTTATCTTAACATAGTAAAGAGCGAATTCCACATGGTCTCGAAGGTATCGAACTTTCAAAGACTTTCTTTGAAGTTCGTAGTTTTTTATAAACAAATAAGTTTAAATTTAAAAGTTTTAGAGACGTGTTCAAAGAGTAAAACAAAACAGAAAAAAATCACCTATGTATATTGATATCCTTTTGTCTGATGCAAGCAGGTTGTTGATTGCAGCGCCAGAATTATTTAAGAAAAAATTTTGATCGTTTTAGGCATATGGTATGTCAGTATGTATCGATATAGCGGCGGCCCTAATAAATAACTTTAATGTGAATACATAAATACACCTCACTCGACAAACACAACTAAAGCAAAATACAGATACAGAACAAAAAACAAAAAAAAATATAGATAAAACAAACATTAAGCACAACAGAATAATTTAAGAAAAAAAAATTAAAATGTCTTCAACAGCTATAATGAAGACATAATCACGTATCGTGTACTTCAAACAGTCGTTAAGCAACTTAATGACTATTTTGGACTTGTTTATCCAAAACGTAAATGATGTCATTAGACAATATAATAACCATTTAGATGTTCAATAAGACAAGACGTCTCTTTGAGATTCCTAATAAAGTTTGCTTTACTGTCTTTAATGCTCCAGGCGGCCAAGCAAGCGTAAATATCAACTATCAAGAGATGACCTGTCATTTCATAAGTAACCTGCAGAATATGAGGTCATCAAAAGTTGGTAACCCAATACGCTAAACGTTTAGTAGTGGTATATTTAAGTTTAATTGAAATATTATGAGGTATGTGAAGTCTTATTTGTATGATATATGTCGGAATACTGAAACGCTACTCAATTTTAAGTCGTGCTTAAGTATAGTTCTATCTCTACAAATTCTTTGTAAAATGACAGAGATGGCACGATATTTGAGCACTACTTAAAATTGAATAACGTTTCAGTATTCCGGCAATGGATACGTATTTGTGAAGTGAGCTAATTACAAAAATAGTATAAGTAGTCATGTTGATTGATGGTAGCTCAAATTATAAAAAAATCTAGTAAACATCGTTGCCTACACACAGAAAATATAAATATATTTACAGCCATCCCTAAATCACAGAACACGATCAGTACAATGACATCACTTAACTACAGACAACAGTACCAACCTTTTGAACGGGAGAGGCCTATGTCCGGTAGTGGTCTGCGTTAAGCTGGATGGAGAAAATAGAGAGATCACAAAATGAGAATATAAAGTACAGGGTACTTATTACATAGAGAAGAGGTTACATTACCATATCAAAAAGAACAGTGCCGTGGGCCAGGAGCATTTCATCTTCAAGAGAGGCTTGACACACTGTGACCGCGTTGGAGGTCATTCCAATGTTAACAGTTTATCTGAAACAATATTTTAAGATGTAAATAAAACTAACTTCATTTCTCATGTAAAAGTACTTGTACAAATTAAGTTATGCTACGCCGTAGTAGTTTCGAGCTACGCCGCGTAGCAAGACGGTTACGTACTATTTAAAACGAATTGATTATTTTTGTAAATAAATAATATATAAAATAACATAACATCATGCCTTGTTATCCCCGAAGGGGTAGGCAGAGGTGCACATTATGCCACTGTACAATGTAACACCCACTTTTCACATTTTTGTTATGAGTCCCATGTAATAGGGGGTGAGCCTTTTGCCATAAACCGGGCACAATTCCAGACTCAGTGCTACTACTGAGATTTTTTAAAACCCAGTAATACTTTGCCCGACCCGGAAATCGAACCTGAGACCCCTTGCCCGGCAGTCGCACTTGCGACCACCCGGCCAACGAGGCAGTCTGCCTAAGTCAGTATAAATAAATAATACCTAAATAATATAAATAAATAGAGGATATATAAATAAATATTCTTAAAATAATACGTAGTTACAGAGACAAAATATGATAATGACGGAAAATTATTATTCGTGTTAACTTAAGTGTTTAATGTTTCATCTCAACGGATTTGAAGACAACGATTTATCTCAGAAAATAAATTGTCAATTCCATGAACATCCAAAATAGAACGTTGCTTATCAATTAGGTTTGATTAAAGTTCTATATTAATTACGTTTCGACGAATCAAAATATACGTGTCTTCAACGTACAAACTTAATTATACGTATTTCTTTTGACTACCTTTTTGTTCAACTGATTTTGATAAGTTTAAATTATCGGGTTAGAAAAATTCGTTATTTATATTGTTTTTTCTTTAGAAAGTATTAGGGTTTATTATTTGTTTTTTTTTTCTTAGTTTATAGTTCAACAGGATTTGTGGTCAAAAGATCTTTCAAAAATAATAATTAGTGAACCGTAGCAATACAGAATCTGTACCACTGAAATTCGTGATTTCCTATAATTATAATATCTACATACAGGCTTGAATGACGTGAATCATCGCTTATTACCTGAGGGCAATCATCTGGTCCGCTCGGCGCCTGAAGCTAATAATTTAATAATACGATATCGATTCTATCACAAATCGATGGACCGACCTACTGACCGGTGTTGTACTGAGAAATAATTTACCATTCGAAGGAAATTGAAAGAATCTACAAGGCTTTGCCGGGAAATGTTATATGTTGGGACAATATCAGGCTATAAAGCTTTCCCAATTTAAATTTTTATTTGTTTTTCTTGACCCAATTTTTACGAGCTTGCCTTTTGCTGAAGGCGCGGAAATTCGTTTGGAATAAAGTTCGCTTGGGTACACAGCAGCTGTTGTTAATAATTGGTTATTTAAATGTGATTTCAATCGATTTTCTATTTATAGTTCTAATTATGATGTCATCACACTGTCTACCTACAACAATACAAAGCTTTTTAATTGAGTCGTTATTTATTACCAAACTTAGAAATGAAATGTAATAAAACGAACTATTCAAGTTCAAATCATTTATGTAAAAATCTAATAGCTTCATGATGACCTTACTACTGAGTAATGTAAATATTAAATATGCTACAGGAAAGACACACAAGCCAAACAATATGTTTCAAAAACGTTTTAGTTACCTGGATATACCTATGAGTACCTCATTTATAATTTATTCCCTCTTCTAAGTAAAAGCGGTGTTTACATCGCATTGTTTCATCTTTAACCTGGGTTAAACGAGCACATAATTTATGTATTGTGTACTCCTTTAGCCGATCTCTTCACATAAATGAACTTTGTAATAGAATTAAACTTAGTAGGAGGCAGAGTTCAATGTGGAGGTTCTTTACCCTCTCCCAAGGTGAGGAAACTAAGGAAGGAATTCATTAATATTAATTTGATTTTGTTTCTTATTTTCATTGTGGCTGTTTTAGAGAAAGAAGGAGATTATGTACTTAACTGTAAATAACACGTATATTGTGACTTAATTCTTACGTACATACGTTTATACTTACCTACTAAAATATAATTTCCTTTATTTATTTCTTTACTTGATTTTTACATTTTTAAATATTTGATTATATACCTCGTGTGTTCATAAGTTTTGAGACAAATTAAAAGTTGCATATCTTTTTAAATAATAAACTTATATTTATAAAAACAATAACAAACATTAAGTAGATAGTAAGTAAAAATTAAATATAATTATTATTCAAAATGACCACCCCTGTTTTTAATACATGCCCATAGACGATTTGGCCAGTCATCAATGGCGGCACGAATCTTTTCCAGAGGAATTTGCTTCGCTTCTCGGACAAGAGCTCGCTTAAGTGACTCCAAGTTTGGGTGGGACTTTCGGCAGGCTCTGAGCTCTAATTCGGTCCATAGAGAATAATCCAGCGGGTTGAGGTCGGGGCTGGAGGAGGGCCATTCGTTCGCCGCAATGAAGGCCGGCACATTTTCCTTCAGCCAAGCTTGGGTGGTTTTAGCCTTATGGAATGGCGCCGAGTCTTGCTGGAAAACCCAATACATGTTATGGAATAGGGTATTAGACAGGGGTTTCACAACAGTCTCTAGAATGTCACTTTGATAATTTTTGGCTTTCACCTTGACGCCTTGTTGGCAGAAATGAAGCTGAGTGACACCTTCGTACGAAACTCCCCACCATACCATGACACTAGCCGGATAATGAGTACGCGAGACATTCCGTGCTGAAGGTGGGACATCCTTGCTACTTTTGGCATATACTTTATTGTTTTGTCGATTGAACTTTTCTTCGACGGTAAAGATTTTCTCATCGGTGAAGAGTATCTTCCTCGCATCGTGTCTCCTAAGCAGTATTGGACAACGTTTGCGTCGCAATTGACGAAGGCGATCGTTTAAAAAGTGTACTTTTCTACGACTATACGTCTTAACCTTGAGATCATATTTCAGTATTCTATTGACTGAAACGCGCGAAATATTGGTCTGCAGAGCGAGTTTCTTCTGAGTGTGACATGGATTTCGGCGAAGTCACTCTCGGATGATTTTAATGTTCGCAGGCGTCCTCACAGAGCGTGGACGACCACTTCTTTGCCGATCATGTAAAGAACTTGTCTCCTGGTATCGTTTAATAGTGTAATACACGAAGTTACGGCTCACACCAAAACTTTTCAGTTCTCGGAAAATGTCCATAGGTTTTCTTCCCACCTTAAATAATGAAATGACGGTCGCACGTAATTCTTTTGTTCCCTCCATTACGAGAAAATTTAAATAAAATAATCCGAAATCATAGATATTAAAAGTTAACATTCCAAATTCAAAATTAGAAAAAGAAATATACAGCAGCCAGTAATTTTTATTTTATTTTTATAAGCAAAAAGTTTGTCTCAAAACTTATGAACACACGAGGTATAAAAAAAACATTTAAAAATATAAAAAGCAGTAGCCCACCAGTAACGGGAGAAATCCAAGCTACCGGTGGTCAGGGCTCCAGAGAAAGGAATTTCCGGACAATACGCGCCGTGTCCAGAAGTACTGCTTTCTGCATCAGGCCCTTGACCCAACCATCTAACGCTAGCCTACTCAGATGTTGGTCGAGGCTTTTAGCAATGAGGCCATTGGCAGATACGACTATCGGCACAATGACTGCTGAATCCACATCCCACATGTCGACAATCTCATGAGCTAAATCAAGATATTTAGTTGCTTTATCTTTTTCAGCTTTCACAAGATAATATAATTATTATTACTGTTTTTTTTTTCAAATGTTTTGTAGGTGCTTTGAGTCTGACAAATCTGACATAATGATATTTTCTGTTAATCTTGACGTTTCATATGGTTTAGGTTCTGACATGAAGTTGAATTTTATTTTATTTTATTATATTTCTTTTAATGTTGACATAGATTTGAATGTGTATTTGTAATATTGATATAATGGTCTTATAACAAAATAATTAATTGCTGTCATTGGTGTAACCGTTGTAATTAATATAAATAAATAAATTATGGTTCTGCGGTTTGATTTTCAAGAGTAAAATAATATTGTTTTCTTTTCAATTATTTGTTTTTGCAAAATACTTTCATCATCAACACAACAACAGCAACATTAACAACCTATAAGCGGCCACTGCCAACCAAAAACTTCTGGCACGGAGAAGTATAAGTGTGGGAGAGCCATGCTTCGGCAAGAATGGGCCGGCTCGACCAGAGTGATACCACGGCCTCACAAAAAACAAACGTGAAACAACGCTTGCGTTGTGTTTCGTCGTGTGAGTGAGGTTACCGGAGGCCCAATTACCCCCTTCCCCAATCTCCCCAATACCTGAATTCCCCACAATCCTAAAAATCCTCAAATTCCTAATTCCTAAAAGGCCGGTAATGCACTTTTTTTTTTTTAAAGGGACAAGCCCGCCACAGCCTCCCAAAACCGCTGCAACTCCTGTAAGCCAGGATCTACAGTAGATACAACCATGAAAACAGGGACAGGTCCCAGGGACATGAGTAACTGTCTTGGTTCCCGCAACGAAATGAATCAGAAGATATTATTAGAGAAGAAAAAACTATAGTTTCTACTTCCCTCGGTGAATTACTGCAGGAGACAGAATGAATTAAGCCTAAAGGCACAAAGAAGAGACTGTACAACTGGGTGAAGCCCAGTCGCCAAGCACCACGGAAATTTGACTAAAAAACTAAGTGGGTCCTATGTGTGAGCTGTTATACTTGCATACGGTACGGTAATGCACTTGTAACGCCTCTGGTTTTTCGGGTGTCCATGGGCGACGCCGATTGCTTACCATCAGGTGATCCGTATGCCCGTTTACCGGCTTATCCCATAAAAAAAGAAGGTTTGACCATTAATAGCCACGCTTGCTCAATGTGGGTTGGCGACTTTAAACTTATAAATAGAAATTGTAAGTCCAGGTTCCCTCACAATGTTCATTTGC